TTAGGGAGATCTGCGTAGAGCTACTTTCACATTCCCAAAAAATCTTCATCACCGGCACATGCAATTTGATGCTAACCATTTTACAACACCATAACCGTAGTAGAGACATTGCTTGTTTGTATAGTTCATGACCGTATTTGGACAAGTGAGTGTGAAAACAGCTTTCGCGCAATTTTCATCATGCGTACTGCGCAATTTGACAGTGACAATTTTTGTATGAAATCTTAAAACTTGTGAAACTAAAAATTCAAGACATATTCGAATTTTACACTTATTTCTAGAGGTAGAAATAATTGCCTAAATAGGAGAATGCTTCTTAGTGATAAATATCTATAGAGAAAACTGTGTAAAAAACTTACGTCTTCAACGGCAAGCCTGCTGCTTGTTGCAGTTGGCGTTTTTGCATCTTTGTACGAAAGCACAAATCTTTTCGACCCAGCTACTAGAGATGCTAAGAAGCCAAAACTTTTGGGCATGTTACTATCCAAACTACAAAGCTTCATTTTTGAAATCATAGCGCGCGTACTCTTGGGTCTAGTGTGCGGAAGCCTAGAAGAATTCACACAGATTTTTTGGGGTAAAACAGATAAAATAAAACAAGGGCGTTTTCTGCTCATGTGTAAGCTATGTGTTTCAAATTCAGCTCAATACACGCTTATGTCGTATGTGCAGAAATCAAAATTATGATCGAAACATCGCTGATGAAGTATATAGTCGACAATAGAGCTGACAAGAGCGTTCTAACTCCACATAAATATTTGTTTTCCGTACCTGGGCGTGTAGGCATTAAATGAGCTTTAGCACTCATGTGTCGCCAGTTCACGCGTTAAAAATATTTTTTTGTAACGAAGAGCGATTTTGCCATAAAAGAGTTAATTTTTGCGAGGATTTTTTGTCTTTTTGCAACCGAACTATTTTAAATTCACTTTTAGAGAACACCCAGGCCTTGGCCCCACGAAAGTCTATTGGCACTCAATTAACTTGGTAACCATACTGGGCAGGAAGCACTACTTTTCTGAGGGTGTTTTCTGTTCGTGTGCAGGCCACGTAGCGTAAGATGATTTTCTGCTGCATTAAGACGTATCGTTGCTCAAAATGCGACACCACGATTACACACCAGTAAGACAGGTGACCACGCAAAAACTCATGATCGCACCGGCAAGTTTGATGCATTGCCATCCGGGCGTCGAGGTAAAGAAATGCAACGAACCAACAGCTACAAAACATGGGGAGTATCCTAAGCATGTCTAGAAGGCGCTGTTCCACGTCTTATCCAGCTAAGCTTAAGTGGTGCAGCTTTAAAGGACATGCAGCTACGCGTGCACGCAAATGTACGCTATATAACTCATCATGGGAATAATGTGAATGAAGAGAAATAACAAATGAGTCCTAGCATCTTGTGTGTCCTTTGGCCTA